CGGCATTCCAAAACAAATTATCATCATTAGCATTAGCACAACGATACTCTTTATATTGCCGTGTATAACTGTATATCGTTTCCAACATACATCGGACACTAAAATGCACTATCCTTCCCATTATTCATTCAGAAGAGCATCTCAGTCAGAATAGAAGTACATAAAATACCACATCTCACTCTCATTTTCCAGGTTTGATACCAGTTCCTTTATTATCCCTATCAATGTCGGAAGTCACCATTACTTATGAATCATAAAATCTCTAATCGAGTAATTTCGAAATCACATTACATGCGTAGCTAACAAAGATCGGAATCCGCAATTATGAACGAGCGAAATCGGAATAAGCGATAACCGTCCATACCATTGTCTTCTGAGAATATGAAGGTTAGCTGAAGAGGAGTCACACAGGTGCGGACACTTTGCAACGGCGCTGAATCATTTGAAGGAGCGCGCGTTTTGAACAGATCGGAATCGGTTGCGGTTGCGGTTGCGGGAGAATGAAGAGAAGAGGAATTCGGGAGTTTTGTTCGTCTTTGTGTTGCGGGATTGGGGGAGTGATGATGGTTTGGTGAGAGCGGAAATGTCCGAAGGCCCTGCAAAATCGCCATGCTTGTGGACATTCTTGTGCCTCGCTCGCACTCTTCCCTCTCCTCTCCTCTACTCGCCGCATGGACTTCGCGGGTACCAACCATACCGTTTCTTTGTATGAATTGTCAAACTTACTCAACAAAAATATCTTTATTTTATATATTTATAAATAACCTAAATGCTTAATTAATTTATGATTCAACTCTTGTTATTTAAATTATTATTTAAATAAACATTCATATATGAATTTCGTTAATTTGGTTAATTTAATCTACTTTGGTACTCGATAAATCATTAAGATTTTATCTTTAAAAAAATATATTGGTAAGTTAAGGAGATAAAAATGTTTATAAACAACTGACTCAACTTCTAAGTAATATGAAACTTTATGACATATAAAAACAAATATTTTAGTCAAAGTTAAGGAGCAAGATTGGTGTGGGCTCTCCTTCTATCATTAATGTGCCGATCATAAGTTTGATAACATAGTTAAGATCATATTACATTCGCTATATTATTCCCTTTGAAACTTGTTGATAAGTTTGTCTGTTTCAATATGTCATAAAGTCTTACATCTTTTAGGAGTTTTGACCAAAATAGTTTATAAATATCTTTCTCTATTAAACCACATTGGTGTAGTTTTAAGAATAAAATTGTGACAGACCAACCAGCGTCAAATCAAACATTTTTTTGTATGCAATGATGTTAAAGTTATCAATGGACTTATGGTCAAAAGTTAAAATATTGAGTTAGAAGGAGGGTTTAAATGACTTTTGTCTCTTAGCCTCATATAGTCTCGCATCGATATTCCTCTTCAGCCTCATATAATTTTTCATCACTTAAGACTCAGGTTAAAAGTAGTTTATAAATTTCATCTTTCCTTAATGAATCAACATGTTTTTTGAAAGACAAAATTATGGTAGTGGCAAAGTATACAATACCCTAATGATACAAACAAACTAATAGTTGAAACAATAAAGATGATTTAATAAAAAAGAAGAATATTTTTATTAGGGTGATTGAAAAATTAACAAGTTTCATAACATAAATATAATATAAGTTGAATACATCACTTGGTCTTGAACTTTTAAAATTTGTAATTTCAGCTTTTTATATTTTTACAACTTAGTCCTTGAAACTATATTTTTTTTTTTATAATACATGAAATTTGTAATTTCATCTTCCTATTTGTTAATTTTTTTTTTCACGATTCCATAATCCTTATTTTTTTTATTAGGATCCCATATATAATAAATTATGGAGATTATAAGAGAATTTCACGTGTAGAAATCAAAATTTGATACATATAAATGTGATAGTAATATGACGTTTTTGTTTATGTACAAAAATATAAATAATATTTTTGTAAAATTTTATGAATTTTAAAATAAATTATAACTTAGAGGTTAAATAACAAAAAATATATAAAAAATGGGATTAATTACAATTTATTAATTTAGGGACTTAATTGAAAATTTTCAAATTTAGGGTAATATATTAAACTTATAATATATAATACCTTAAATGAAAGTTAATTTGAAATGGATGTAGATCTTTTGACACATCAATTAGGAAATTTCATCTAATAAAATGCATGCTTAACTTTATAATTTTTCAAACGAGTGCAACAAATGGTAAAAGCAAATGTGCCGTAGACACACACAATATATGCACAAAAACTTATAATAATAATATATATATATATATATATAGCAAAAAAATGAGAATTGGAGAAACATGTGATTTTTAATTCATCATTTTTCTTCAAATAAGAAAATGACGTGAAAAATATCATTTGCCATGAGATATGACCCATTCAATATTTAGTGCTTTGACATTAATTTAGTCAAGAGTCAAAAACCTGGAAAATGGAAGACTTACGTTTATCCTATTCAAGGCATCTTTCATTTTCAATAAGCTGGAAAATGTCGCATCCATATTCCATCATTTGCACCGTTATATACATTTCCTTCTATAGTAATTGATATGCATTTCTTTTTTGTAATAGCCAAAAATATATTGAATATGTGGCACTAGGGGTGCCACAAACCCAAAATTACAAAGTAAGAAAAAATGTATGGGGGAGGCTGTACAACAATCAAAGAGGTTTACAAATTTAATAAGCTCCGGACAATAGAAATTGTGGTTGTAGTTAAGTCCAAGAGAGAACATGTGTAGCCTAGATTCCCTCAGCCACCTCAACTAATTACACACTGGACTTTTCCAACCATTTTGCAAGCATTGAGATGGACACACTATCCATTGATCAAGGGTAAAGTCCATGAGGTCATTAAGTTTGGCCACAACCATAGAGTAAGGTGTAAGTTGGCTTTCAATTCTTTCGGTGTAGTCGCTCTTCTTCTAAAAATCTTGTTATTTCTCCCATTCCAAATATACCATACAACAACACTCCTAACAATGTCTCATCCCTTCATTTTGCGACAACCAGAGCATAACTGGGAGTACTGACAATAGTGTTGCCTCATTGTTTAAAATTGTAATTGATATGCATTAATTAATTTTGATTTACAATTTCTTCCTCACTTTATATATTTATTTAACAAATTATTTATTTATTTAAGATTGATATGCATGTTGAAGAAATAATTGCATACAGTTAAAGAGCAAATTACGTTGATTTAAAAAAGAAAGTGAAAGAGTAAATAAAAAGTGATTGAATTGTGGGATTAGCATAATAGTTGAGTGAAAAATCATATATACAATCGAGTGAGAGTTAAAGTGTTTAAAAGTAAAATGATGGAGAAGAAAAGTTATCAAAAATATGTATTTCTTGATAGATAAGTATAAATTATTTAAAAATAAAAAAATGTATTTTTTTTCTGAAGATTGGTATATAATTATATATATATATATATATATATATATGCATTTTGAAATGGATTAAAGAGTGGTAGTGGTTAGTCTACAATAAAAGTGGACCAATTGTGCAGTTATCCAATGAAATTTCACTAGATTTTATTATTCCTTGATCAAGATTATTTATCATGAGATATTTGTGGCCTCTATATTTTTTATATTAATTTATTATAATTTTTATCTAATAAATATAATTTTTATTATTTAATATTAAATTCAATAAGATAAAGCTACACTTAATAATGATAATTGTATTATCCGTACCGCGTAACCGAGCTCCGAGCTCGGCACCGCAACCCGACCTCGAACGCGCACTGCATGGCATCAGCTCGGCATTTAAGTGAATCATAACCGATTCCTGAGGATCTCGTCCCAGACTAGGTCCGTTATCTAATCATATTACATCTTATCTCAGGCTCAAGGCCCAAAGCAACCTTAATTCACACTAAGGTACGTGCATTCCTTATACGAGATTCATACTCCCGCAAACACTAACTTAAGCATCAGAGTCTCTTTTGCAGGTACCACCCCCATCTTGGAGCACCAGCATACCCGTGAAGGAGGCTCACCGATCTTACCTGACGAACCAGCTCTACAGCAGATTTCCGGTAAGAACAATAATGTTATTACTATCATGACTTTGTATATACATTGCAAATCCTACCACTATAATTATTCTATTATTGTGATAATAAAATATTTGAATCAATTATTAAAATATTTAATGAGCGAGAAATCAGTCTACTTTACACTCTAAAAAGTCGGATCGATTTTCTAATTCATGCATTCAAGGTGCTACTAAATTAATTGGCTTTAAGCTTCAATTTGCAATAAGAAAAAAATAAATTTAAAAGAAGTAATTTAAGATCAAATTATAGAATTTGAGAATAGAATGCTAATAAGTCAACAAAATAACATGTTACAAATTCCATTGAATTAATCTTCAAATATATGAATATCACAACAGCTCATTAATTAGATTTTATTGGGTGAAAATTACATATTGAAAACATGAACTTAAGTATCATGTAAAAAATAAATCTGAACAAAAGAATCTCTGTGAGGGATCGAAATATAAAGAATGTGTAGGCTTATTGTTATATGAACAACTTAGGGGCGAATTGGATCGGGTGATGAAGGCCTAGAAGGACCACGTGGAAGAGTTTGCAACAAAAGCTCATCAAATTGTTGCAAGGGTCTGCAGCTTTCTCCACGTTCACAAAAGGCAATCATAATGGTGAAGATGATCATCACTATAACTCTGAGAAGGATCCTCCTGTTAGAGAAATTAGCCATACCCACGATCTCAACAATGTAATGCAACTTAATGCTCTTCAATTTATGTAAATATGTACGTCTAAATAACAACGTTTTTGCCTCTTACGAGCTTTGCTTATAGGGTTTATATTTTAGGTGGCAGAACAATTGCATGGGCACATATATATAAGGTTTAGTTTTGCAATTGGGGTTGTGTCTTGAGTCTTGACCAGACCAAAGCCTCTAGTGGATGATGAATTTTAAAACTCGTTTTGCTTGACTGTGACTTGGCAACATATATGCATATGGGTTGAAAGTTGAACCAATCAAAGAAAAATACTAAACCTTGGACACCAAACATGAGAATGAGTTGTGTAGGTAGATAAGTAATTACACCATGATTCAAACGTTAAAATGTCTCATGAAATCGATTAATTATCACTGTACTTTGTTTTATTTTACCTAATTAATTAAAGGTTATAACCCCCATAACCACGTATTAATATTTATGCTTTTTCAACATAGAGCAAGCCGTAGTAAGGGACGGAAACTAAAATATAATCAAATTTTTGTTCCGTTGAAAATAACACTTTTGTCGTGCATTTAAATTCCGAAAGTCAAAGGCGCGCTAATCGTTGACGTACTATATTGCATGCTAATCCACCGATATTGAATCACACATTACATTACATTACACGTCTTGTTGCATGCCCACAAATCCACACAGAATAACATCCTTTATTTAATAGCATTTTAGTGTCTAAAATGCATGTCTATTATATATAATTAAAATTTATAATAAATTATATATAAATAAATATTATATTTAAATATATAAATTATATTTTATATTATGATAAATAATTTATATTATAATAAATTATTTTTTAAAATTGATAATTTATTTTAAAATATTAATTTTTAATTTTTAAATAATTATGATAAATAAAAATTAAATTAGGTAAGAAGTTAAAAAAAATTATAC